GAGTGTCAAAGGTCAAGTAAGGTGGGTGAAGGGTAAATACGGTGAAAATTGAAGTAAAAGGTGTAGAGGTAGAGTGTCAAAGGTCAAGTAAAGTGGGTGAAGGGTAAATACGATGAAAGTATAAGTATAAGGTGTAGAGGTGGAGGAGTGTCCAAGATCATGTAAGGTGGGTGAAGGGTGAGTACGATAAAGATAGAGGTATAAGGTGTAGAGGTGGAGGAGTAGTGTAAAATGTCAAGCAAGGTAGGCGAAGGGTGATTACGATGAAAGAAGAAAATAGAAGTATAAGGTGTAGATGTGGAGTAGAGTCAAAGATCAAGTAAGGTGGGTGAAGGGTGAGTACGATGAAAGTGTAAGTATAAGGTGTAGAGGTGGAGGAGTGTCAAAGGTCAAGGTGGGTGAAGGGTGAGTACGATGAAAGTATAAGTATAAGGTGTAGAGGTGGAGTGTCAAAGGTCAAGCAAGGTAGGTGAAGGGTGAGTACGATGAAAATAGAAGTATAAGGTGTAGAGGTGGAGTAGTGTCAAAGGTCAAGTAAGTTAGGTGAAGGGTGAGTACGATGAAAGATGAAAATAGAAGTATAAGGTGTAGATGTGGAGTAGTGTCAAAGGTCAAGTAAGTTAGGTGAAGGATGATTACGATGAAAATAGGCAGACGAAGGTTGTAGGAATAAAGATTTTAGCAAGTTACTGCCTATAAAGCAATGACAAACATATTTTTGATTATTAATTGGTGCTAATCTTTATTTTACTTTTATGAGTTAATTTTGTTACAATTTTTTCACAACTGCTATGCAGGAACTAGGTTAAATAACCTATAAAGGCAAAAATTAGAAGCTAAATAAATAATAAAATAGTACTACTTTATACTAGGTGTATTTTATGATCAATAGATGGATGTATGATGAATGTTCTTGCTTAGTCTGTGCTGAAAATTGACAAAATAGAATATATGTATTTGTAATCGGTATCAAGAGAGACCACATAGCTCTATGTTATTATATTTTTCAATCTAATTCCCCCTCCACTTTTTAGGGTTCTCCACAATTGTTAATTAGTATCAACAGATATCAGTAATCACGAGTTTGCTGTGTATATTTTAAAAATCAAAAAATATTTATCAACTCAATAAATAGCTATTGTCTCTCTTCATGTAAGTAAAAGTCAAAAACATACACTTTTAGATTTTTTTCCTTGCTTAAAAATGGCACCAAGAACTCAAGAAACCAAACTATTTTACCCCTGTTAGGCTTGTACTTTTGTATGGCTATTGTCTGGAGATCTAGAGCCTGTGAGAAGGGGTATAACAACTGCCTACTGCCTGTTGTTCCATGAGTAACAACAACCAAGATAAAAAGATTGTCCAGAAGACAATACGTTCAATTATACAGGCTCAACGAATGATACATAATACTATATGCTTTGAATTTAGCACCCTAATGTGTTGCCAAATTGCATGTAAAGTATACTATAACACAGCATTTTAAAAGTGAATGTGAGCATGGCGACGTGAGGGTGTTATTATTTTTATAGGTGCACTGGGTGTTGCTGTTCTCCAAGAAGCTGGGAGTCTGTGTAAGTATGTGTTAATAAATGTGCATTCATAGCAAGACGATTTGACAGCTAGTATTCTAAATCCTTTAGTCATGCAAAACTGGCTAAAATGTCTAGAAATTTATAGCCTGCTTGCTAAGGTCCCTCAATCTTTGGTAAAAAAGAGGGGGAATGTTTCTTTCCTCCGATCTGGGGAGTGAGATAGGAAGAGAAGGAGGAACCTTGGTTAGCAGGTTAATGAATAAAGGAATTTTTTTCTACTGGCGTTGTTGCTCAACGTACACCATGGCAGACATCATTGGCTGTAAGAAACTTGGAGGCAGTGATGTTATTTTATCCAGAACAGTTGATGTTACATAATTCATCCTACAAGGGAAGAAAAATCATAGTATCAGTTGTTTATACTACTAGACACCAGCTAGTATATAGTTGTTAGGTTGCATCAAGTGGTTGTTTTGGTTGCTGACGAGGGCCCATGTGTTCCAGGCAGGAGACACTGCTGATCCTCCAAACTGTGGTATCAATCAGACTGCAGATCATGTGGGGTTATGATAGTATTACACAATCAACATCACCACATGGGTAAAATGCAAGATCAGTGGTATATTGACTGATGACCCTGGTCAGTCATCAGCCCACTGTTATAAGGCCGGCATACACAAGGGAGCTTGCTCCTGCAACACGCTCCCCCAACACGCTCCTGGGTAATCCTGGGTCATTTTGCTAGACCAGTACACACGAGGGAGCTAAATGATAAAACAACCTGATTGGAGCATGGGAACTAGTTATAAATCCAACAAATAAGCCAATTTGATTGGCCAACTGGAGACAGGTTGTTGCGCGGCAATAAAAGTTTCAGTACACACGAGGGAGCTTGCTCCTGAAACACGATTCTGCAACAGATTTGCTCCTCAAGCTTGCTCCATCATATTTAAACATTTAATATAAGGGAGCAAAACCCGGGAGCGTAAGTTTTTTCCATTTGAACCGAAATCGCTGGTACAGACAAGGGAGTTTTGCTCCGGGAGCGTGTTGCGGGAGCAAGCTCCCTTGTGTGTGCTGGGCCTTTACTCTATTGACAGTCAACTTACTGTAACCTGCCAGTTTTGTGGCTGACAGTTTCTAATGAAAAGCTACAATCTGATAGCCATCAGTGCTGACCCAGCTTATCAACCACAGCATGACAAACAATCATTTTTTGAATCACAATGCTTGAATGTGGCTTTGTCATATGATGGTTTAATTTAATGATTTATAATTTATATAGCACCCTTTCTATATGAATATAATCAAAGGCGCTTTAAAAATCACTTTTATTTAAGTGTCTAGTCGTTCTAGTGCTTTCGCACTAATTGGGGACACTTTTCGCTCACACGCACTACCACTACATTTAACATTCTATGCACACAACGCTCAACTCACATGTTGATTTTGTATGGAGGGAGGAAACCGGAGAACCCGGAGAAAACCCTTGTAGCATAGGAGAGAACAACACATCAAACAAACTCAATTTACATGTGGCGACTGCAGGGCTCGAACCAGCGAGCCAACCTGTTGGACTCACAGCAGTGAAAGACGACGTGTTAGCCGCAAACCCCATCCATGCTACTGGTATTGAGTTGTGAATGACAGATTGCTTTTATGCAATTTACAAGCATGAGATATGGTTAGCCATTTAAAGTGGTCATCCAAGTCACTTGAAAGTCTAACTATTTGCAGATGTAATTACAAAGGCAGCACGTTCTCCTCAGTTATTTTAAGACCCTGAGTGTTGGTCCAGCCGGGACTCGAACCACGACCTCCCTCAATGAAAGTCCGATGCTCAACCAAATGAGCCAACCGGTTTGCGGTTATTATTATATTAGTGGCAAAGCATGTACGTAGCATACTCTAGTTATCCAAAATGTGACTTCTTTAAAAACTAGGAAGCTACTCACCATTCTTTCTGTTCCTGAGGTAGTCTCGGAACAGCATCTTTATCAGTCACATGCAAACTTAACTTCAAGGCTTTAAAATTCCCTTCAACATTCTTTTTAAAGTCAGCCATGCTGGTCCCTGCTTGGTTTAGAGCTTGCTGTAAGAGAAAGAAAGATAGTAAATAGATAGTCAGAAGAACAAATGAGAATGTGATGTCAATGTCAATGTAATTTTCTTTGGTTTTGTTCAGTCAAGTGTTCACTCATCACAATACATAATGAACAAAGCCTGAAGACACAACATATAATTCTCTCTTGACATATAAAATAGATTATTTATTCAGAATGATACCACACATTAAAAAAAGTGCCCAAGATTTTCAAAAAGGTAAACGTTCTCGGGTAAAAAAGAGAACTGATGTAACAGCAATGAAAATTAATAATGTAATATTTGTATTAAAATTATAAAAGGCAGGATCAGTTCCTCAGATGCCCTCAGATGATCAATTATTGTTGCCTATTTGTCAGCATTTGCTACAACCTTGTTTTAGCAATTTCATGTAGTTTGATAGCTATTATAGTCAGCCATTTTGTCTTTCAATTGATAAAACTAATTCATCGTCAACACTTTCCCATGATCAAATAATGCATATCTTAACCATCACTAATTCAAATATTACACCTTATTATCCAACTATTCAAGTTAGAGTACAAATAACGCAGAAGAAAGCCTGGAGCTAGTATAAACATCCTGCGATATTTGTACTCTAGGTTATTTTGTACAGTAAAAAACTGGTTTTGACAAAATACAGTAAACTCAAAGAATATCCAGCCATATTCCACCCTAAAATGTCAAATATGATCTATTTCCTCCCATATGCAGGCAAATATACTTGTAACGGCATGGTTGAAGAAATATAGGATACCCTGCGAATGATATGCAGTTGTTGAATATCTTTGTAGAACAACACATAGGACAATAGAAGTCATTATCATTAAATATGTGCATATGATTTGCTGGGTATTCTGTAGTTACACCTCATGGTTGATGGAGGTTTATGGTTTTAGTGTATTCACTTACGTAAAGAGCAACATGTATGACAATAGAAGTCATTATCATTAAATGTGTGCATATGATTTGCTGGGTATTCTGTAGTTATACCACATGGTTGATGGAGGTTTATGGTTTGAGTGTAATCACTTACGTAAAGAAGTGCTGTCTGATGTGCCACATATTTGTGGTTTGTCAAGTTAAAAACATCACTGTTGAGTTGTTGACAAAGAGTCACCATTTGGTTCAGCATTGCAAACTGCTGGAAATATCCTGAAATCAAAAGAAATATATATGCAAACAATATTAATGGCTCTATTATAACTTTAATTCATAAATGTATAAAATTTCAAAGGTTTTTTTGAAGAAGACATAAAGATAACTATGATGTATTACCATCCATGGCTGATTTTTGTGCAAAGAACTGTGGTCTTTCAGGACTAGATAGATAGGAAGCAACTTTTGGAAACAATACAGTGAGACCAGTCTGACGCATGTACTCCTGTGAAAAATGAATAAATTATAAATTTAATATTTGTCATTAGTCACCTTAAGTTGCAGGATGGAATGACAACGACGACAATAGCCATGCCATGACTTGAGTTTGATAAGTCTCAAGTGACTCTTTCACCCTGGTATCAATGAGTAAAATTTGAAGGTATATTTACATACCAAAAGAGATGGCTGTGGTTCAGGCAAGAAAAGTAGCATCTTCTTCATCTTTTCAATGAGAACTTGAGCTGAAGGATAAAGAAAGTAACACATATTGTTAATGTAAATCAGAAATTGTCCCTTCAAGATTTAGTCTTTTATCTCTCACCTTTTGGTTCAAACTTATTTTGATATTCTACTTTGTGAGCAACATCGAGTTTCCCTGATGATGTCTGAAACAAAGAAGAAAATTAATTTTTTTATGATCTGACACTTCCTACTATTAAACCATGACTAAAACAAATTAAAGTTTTGGAGTATTATTTTGTTTGGAAAAGGCATGGTTGAAAGTGCTTGCTTCCCTTGCAAGAATGGGCCTTTGTCATGTCACAGCCACATTTGAAGCCATATTATGGAGGGTACTCCTACATGTCCTCCATCTAAATTGCACAAATGTCACAATTTGGGAACGTTCTTGTGACCCTTGTCAGACTTCAATCAAGCGATTACATCTGAAAGAAATAAAGACTGGCAAACTTCAAAGGACTATGTCTTTGTTTGGCATAACTTTATCACGTGACATTGACCGTGCACAAGGTCAAAACAAAACGGAACTTAAACAGACTTGTACCCAGTCGCTTCTCATGCTGTGGTTGATGGGAAGGATTTAGTGAGTTAGCGGTGCATCAAGGGAAGGAAGGAAGAGTTGCTATTATGCAACCTGGTGCAGAACATTCATTAAACAAAAGACACAAATGGTCTCTTGTGTGGGTGTTTTTGTGTAATGAATGTTCTGGTTGAGGGATAGCAACTCTTAGTCACTAAATAGTACTATTCGTCAGTATCAACTTTATTTTTATTTCATGGTTTTACTGCATGCGCTCTAGTGTAGAGTTTTAATTTTAAAACTAGTTCTAAACTAAACTAAACTATTTTATCTTCTGAGTATAAACAGTAAATTTATGCTGAATTTTCAATCAGCTAACCAGTAAGACAACTTTAATCATCAAATAGTCCGTAGTTTTGAAGTATAAACTGATGCCATATAAATTATAAATATTTTAAAATGCAGAATTAAGTATAAAATCAACATTAAAAAATTCAAATATTTACCGTATATTCCTTCTTGCAAAGAACTTCTAACTGGGAACACAAAGTCAAGAGCTCCAAAGCCACATCGTCAGCCGAGAACTGGACTTTCCAAAGCGGTTCATGAAGCCTTACTTCCACTTATTAATAAAGAAAGAAAGTTTTTCGATGAAAGTCTGAGAACTCAGCTAGATAAACAATGGAAAAATACCTTTTAAAAATATAGTCACTTCCATACGATCTAGACTTACCTTTGAAAGAGGGATCATAAGCTAGTGGTTGAGCAAGTGGATAGGATAGAGTAGACATTTTAGTATTAATCATACGATTAAAATTGGGAAAAATCTCTTTCTACATCTCTGTTCTAATGATATTTAGGAAACAAAATGGCTGCCATGGGTAACTCCGCTGAACGTAGATAATGTGGTCGCAGAAACACTTTAATTCAGGCTCAAAAATTAAACTTTGATTAATTTTGACAATATTTTTATGTTTCATAATTTAATAATATGAATTTATTAAAATTACTGTAGTTTTTAAAGCTGAGAATGAAAAATAGCTGAAAATGAATGAATGAACTCTAGTTGGCCGTTTTTACCTGGTACATAATCGTGACATAACGCGCGCAACACGCTGATTGTCACGTCATACTTCATTGTTGCATTTCAAAACTGACTTCAAAAGTCAAACTTGCAGTTCTTCTTAATTATTGTCTGCCGTAAAATCTCCAAACAAACTACATGAGATCTTCAAATCTTCTTCCAGGTAAGCAAAAAAAGTATTCTATTTGTTTATGTTTTGGAAACGCGAGTTCTAAATGTTAAATTTACGAAGCGTAACGGTCAAGGGCGCTAAAGTTTGAATTCTTTGAACAATCAAAATCAGCTGAAACTGCACTGGTTCTTTTGCTGAAGTTTGCCAAGAAAAATACAAACGAGGTTGAGACTTGCCAACAAACTAAATAACAAATGCATCTATTGTATTTTGTTATTTCTAGCATTTAGTACAACCGTTTTTAACGTTCTTTGGAAGTAATTTTGACATGAAGTTTTGCTCCAACTTTCATTCAACTGCATAAATGCACCGAGAATCCTGAACGTTACATTGTTTGCTTAGCAATAGTTTTTAAATAAAGTATATGTTTCTGTGAGTTTGAAATACCCTGTTTTGAAGGGGAAATTCATGTGCATTAGCTAGCTTATACCCCATTCACACTTAAACGTGTTTCGTTAAAATATGTTTCATTAGGAAAAAAAAGAGAAACTAGAAGCCTACAATATGATGAAACTTTTTAAAATATTATCAGAGTAAGACAAAGGATAGTTTACATGCATTATTGCACCAAATATTGTACAGTGTTCGTATATAGTTTTTCAAAACCTGTTTAGTTAAACCACTTTAAAACATGTTTAAGCCTGTGTGTGAATGGGGTATTAGTCTTTTTAAATAAATGAAAACAGCACAGGTAGTGATATTTTACCCTGTGAGCAGAGTCTCCTTTTAGCTCCGCTATGGGCGAGAGAAGGAAGAGAGACTCTCCTTTCCTTTTCTCACCCGTAAAGGAGGTAAAAGGAGACTCTGCTCGCAGGGTAATGATATTTAGAAGCAAATTAAAACAATTTTGTATGGGCTTTTGATTTCTTATTTCCATCAGAATGAACTAGAGTAAACACTAATATTTATCAATCAAAACTAACCTCAATTGTAATATTTATTTTTGTATTATTTTGTTTTATTGAACTGTGGTTTTCTTAATGGGCTTCCTGTGCTTTGCATACTATTGCCATTCATTGGGCTTCCTGTCTCGTCTCTTGAAATACAACAGTAAGTTGTGCATCTGTAGAGGGTTCAGAAGTGTGATTCTCAGGGCTTTCAGAATAGGTCGGCAGCTGTTTGAGCTCCAGCAAATTCTTCAAAGTTAATACTGCTGGCTACTTTGTCTTTTCTATAAAAATACCTTCTGTTCCTTGTATAAAAACACAGTCGGCTACTTTATAACACTTATAACCACCTACTTCAAAACATTCTAAAAGCCCTGGATCCTTCTCCCATTTTAAAAAAACTCCAGGCCTAGTGATGAATTTGGATTACTATATCATTCCAGTACCATGAGTTCCAATGCCATTGCTTCAGATCCTACTTATTTGAACATTCCATAGTTTTTACCCATTTCCCACTACAGAACCCTTACAACAGAAAGCTTGCATTTGATCTGTAATATCACTCTTTCACAAAATAAGGAATTATTTTCCAAATCACTTTTTTGAAGGTTTTTTTTTCTTGTGAAATTTAGTGTGATCACTATTAAGAGCTATATAGTCTCCTTGAAGACTGATTCATTGAGAATAAAATAACGCTATCTTCATTATGAAATGAGATGTGTGTGGGAGTGTGTCATGTATCATTAAACGTGGTTTTACCCTAGCCGAGTTGAGGAGTGGATGGCTTATTCGATATTTCGATAGAGTCCTCTTTATTTCATTCCGGATTTTGCATACTGCAGCAATATTTTGTCATTTGATCTTACGTGAGGCCTCGCTACCCGCGACGCAATTTCACGCGCATTGAATCAGAGTTACATACTGAGACTCTTCAACTTTATTCTCAATTTCTTTTCTCTGCGTACCTTTTTTTTATCGCAATAGCACGGTATTCAGGGGTATCTTTATGAGCCATAGCGTGGTGACGCGAATTAGTCACTCATTGATTGACAGGCAAAGCGTTCAACTTGTAGCCTCATTAGTCGCCTTGTTGTCTGAGGTGACATGTGCTTTTCGATCTTCTCACAGTTTACAATGAAATGCGCAGCATTCCTCTTCGATAATGATAGTGTTCGACAAATGCGGTTAGTGTTTCTAAGGTCTTCCGATTCTGATGCCAACTGATGAAGCATTTGGGAATCGTACGACGCAGTTTGATGGCATGTAACGTTGGAATGTCCTAAGATAAGCCGTCTCAAGAATTTAACAAGGACGCAATCTTTACGGTGTGGGTCTTGAGCATTCTGCTAATGAGCTGGTATTTTACCAGTACTGTTCTTCTCTATTCTATTCTCCGAGCGCCACAGGAAACAGGCTAAGTATCGTAAATATGTGAAGCTGTCTTTGTATAGTTGCTTAGAAGTTATTCAGTGACTCGCCGTCCTTTGCGATAGTCTTTATTTCAAGCTACTCATTTTGCGGGCAGCGCATACCAATGATTATCATATCAACTAAACGTCTGCTTTGAGTCGAAAGATTTATCTTCGGAAATTCTTTTCTGGTTGGAAAATCTTCAGAAAGAGTTAGCGTAACTCTGAAAACTGCAAAATCCTAAGTTGAAAATTCTCCTTTTTCAAGCAAGCTATTTTCTATTGTTAGACATCGCCTTGATTCATTAACTGTGGATCCAGAGATCTTAATGCTTTTTTTTATCTAGAAGGCGCAGTTATTTTGAAGCCCGCCCTGAGCAAATTCATTTTTTCCACATCTTAAAACCAGCGCACAGTCGCCCTACACGAAACACTCGGGTTTAATTAGAGTCTAGATTGTTCCAGTTGGCTTGTTTCTGTTATTTTAATCCATCCAAATAGTAAGACCCTGTGCCTTGATGGCTGTTCGTCTGGCCCTTTTGTTCTAATTGCGACCTTGTTTGTTGATTTGTATTGATTTAAACACTCTGCGCTGTTTACCTACCTTCTTTATCATGTCGTAATCTTGACAAGAATTCAAAATGGCTGCCGAGATTGTGCGCAAAAACCACTTGAAATGCGTAAAGCTGTAGTACAGAGAAAAGTGTTAGCTAGATTTTTATGTACACAAATTGTTATCCATGATTTATTTGAGAGTAAATTGATTCGCGTGTCTTTTACTTGACTTTTGTGAGTTGTCTACCATGACCACAGGAAACCCAAAACTACATGCACACACATACACACCACACACACATATATGATACAAAACCACAGGAAGCCCAAACGTATGTCTGCTATGTTCACAGTAAAAACCTTGTGCTTATTTTTGAACATTAAGTGTTTCTTTTTTCTTTTCTTTTATCACAGGTCTTGTTAAAATACAACAAACACTTGATGTAAAAGTGAAACATTTTGGAAAAAGCTGTATTGGTCATTTCGTTTCATTTTTCCGCCCATGTAGCCCGATATCTCCGCTTTCTTTCTTTTTTAATGGATCGTCTCTTTATTCTTCCGTCCAGACGCCTTACGCATCATTTTGTCTTTAAAATATTTCGGTTTTTTCTTCTTGGATAGACGTGGAACCCAGATAAGGTAAGCAGATCTTGAGTATAATATATCTTAAAGCTCCCTACCCCTACCCCCTCCCCCGCCAAGTAAACCAAGTTATCAAGGAATTTTAAAAATCCAATTAGCGATAGGATGTCGTCCACGGCGTATCACCGTCTACACTGATTATCACGCGAAACACAAATAGTCACCCTTCTAGGGTGGTGGAAGTAGGTTCGTGTTTATTTGGTGAGCGGTATGTCCGTGTGACGTGTTGTGCGCAATTTTTACCCTTGTAGGGTGGTGAAAGTATGAATGACAATGAGTGTTTGCGACGTTTTGTTCGCACCTTTTAAGGTGTGACAGTATCTTGTCGTTAATTGCTTGAGGCCTTTCTCTCTTCCGTTTGAGCTGTGATACTGTGTGTAGTGTAAGCACAGTATGAACAATTTTTCTTGTCTTCGTCTTGCTCTTTCTTACTACCGTCTAGTTTCTCTTTTATCCGCAATTTGAGATATACAATACTTGTAACTTTAGGGCATGTAGAGATAGCAGATGCCATATTCACTAGAACAAAACAATACTAAACTAACTTACCGTAGAAAAATTTAGAATCAAGAGACGAGAGATATTTTTTAAATACTTCGTAACTTTAGAATCCCATTTTATCTCGTTTGCTCGTTCGCGCAGGTGAATCAGAATGCGTTACATATCACAATATGTCACTTAGTAATAAGATAGTATAAAGCGTGACGCTCATGATATCGAGTTCATTTACGGACCGGTTTGTCTTTTATTATTGTGCGCGCAACGCGCCAACTGCTTTACAGACCAAGGTTATGTTGCGTCGCACGACGGGTCGTACTTGGCAACCAAAACGTTATTGCGTGACAATGCATAACTTACTTGTCATTGATAGGAATGCGTATCACTTATTTGTTGTCATGCGCATTAGCCAATCAGAATTCACTGACTCTAAGGAGATAATTACGTCATAGTTAATATAGAAACAGGTTCAGTTGTCTTGTTTTGTCGCGCGATGGCGAATCAGAAAACAATTGAGAGAACAACAGACAGATAAGCACTTTTTTCAAATGCACTATTGATATAAAAACCGGTTTATCTTGTTTTTCATTTACGGACGGCCGACCAATCAGACATCAGAATTGGTCATTGCACCACTTAGTCATGTCATTCATTTTTTTGACTCGTAGTGCCGGGAGTTACCCAAAAGTGTTGTCCATGATTTCATTAATTGACTCAGACGATTGTGACAAAGCCATTTATTTACGTACATACAAAGGTTAGATTACAAGTCTATACTACTTTCACCAGCACTACTCACTTATTAGCTTGCTTATGAACTTCTTTTTTGCTTTGCATTATTTTCAAAATTAAAACACATTCTAAAAACATAATAATTCTAAGGTATAAAAAAAATTAAATTAAATTAAAATTAACTTTAAAAAAAAATAGAAAGAAAAAAGAAAAAAACCACACAAACAAGTTCAATTTCAATCAAATTTAGAGATCTAAATCATGGTTCTGATATCTTCTATTCGCTGGTTCATAGTTAGTGTTTGTCGTGGTTTCTAGAGCTGTCCTTAAGTCGTCCTCTTCAGGCTTGTTTTCTTGTTTTTTGTGTGCAAAAAGAGATCAATCTTCTAAAGTTCATCAGCTACACTTTGTGGGTAAATGAATAGTAAGGTATCCTTGGGTGTGATCAGTACATTACAACAGTCATCTTCTAGTTTACTTTACGACACTTGGCTTTATCTGAAACAGAGATAGAGACAATGAATCATAGTTAGAGGCGCCAACATCAGGCATTCAATAACATTAGATTCCAACTAAGAAGTATTGGTCTATTGCGGTCTACAAACCCTAGCATTCAACTAGGGAAGATGTGACTAAAGAAGTCTTTATTTTCCATCGAGTAGACTGCAATATAATAATGAAATAAGATGATGTAATCCAAAGCCGAGGTATGAATTACAGACACTGCGCAACGAGTTTATCGATAACTTTAATTAAGCGCAGTTCTAAAAATGTACTTCATGGGTTGGCTATAATTTAGAATTGGCTAGTTTGCTAGGATTTGGTTTTAGTCTATCGATTCTAGACTCCTAATTTGTACATTAGGTTTTGGACTTTATCATGGAATTAATTCCAATAGAATATAACTGATAGATGTGTTGATCATCACAGTGAATGAGCGATCTAAGCGAACGCTGTAAAGAAAGACTTGAAAAAGTGATTTCAAGCTTCAACGGGAATCGAACCCATGACCTCCGCGATGCCGGTGCGATGCTCTGCCAACTGAGCTATGAAGCCAATCATGTTGGCGAGCGGTCATTTTTGTTGGGTTCTTCAAGCCCCCATAGATAATAAGTGTGAAAATTGAATGGGCTGAACTGTGGTGGAATAATGATAGATGTGTTGATCATCACAGTGAATGAGCGATCTAAGCGAACGCTGTAAAGAAAGACTTGAAATATATTAAAAGAATATAACTCTAATATTGTTAACAACCAAGAACATGCCGATCGAAATAATCACGAGTTTCTTCCTGAATAATGCACTCAAACAATGGCTGAACATGACCGAGGTATTTTGGCTCAAAATAGTAGCCCTAAGTTACGAAAATCTATATTTACCTTTTTACAAAAGAAGACACCATTTCTTCCACCATGGCTCTACAAAAACAAAAATAAAATTATAACAGCTTAGATCTGTGTTCTTTTTCCCGCTGTAACTTCATTAGGACGAGAAGTAAATCCTACCAGGAGGTGAAGGATCCGGAGGAGGATGCGGATCATCATCTCCATTCTTTTTCTTCTCCTTATCCGACATCTTCAGAGAATTTCAAGTATAAAATCAACCACGTTCCGCGCCAAGCAAGAGATCCGCACAGCTCTACCGCACCCTTGGTTCTTTAGTTTATTAACTGCGTCAACGTTTATAAATCAATTTCCAAGAATTATCCCTCCCCCTCTTGTGTTTATGACGCGCATGACTCATTCGCTACTCACGCTCGAATAAATTTTCGAATTTCCGAATAAATGGACTAACAAAATGAATAAAGTCACTAGAAATCGCTAAGATATTGCTATTCATATATATATTCGATTTATAATATCAGTATTTTAGCCCTACTATAGAAAAATATGGGTCAAAATCCGCATCTTAATAAGAAATGCAACTTAGCACTTTTGATCTGCAGCAACGAAGTTTTACAATAACTAGTTCTCTTTAGAACGTGAATTTCCTCATTTTAGTAAGTGGGACGAGAAATAGTAATAAAAACTAGTAAAATAAAAGTAAAAGTGTTTCAAAAATCGATTAAAACTCCAGGTTAATAGAATGCGTTTATATTGCTTGTTTAGGATTTAGTTTCCTTTTGTCGCCATGCATGAATCAGAATCTCGCTCGCTCAAAGCTATGCTTGAAAATCTTTCTCGATAATACTATAGTATTTTGGCTTGAAACAGTAGCTCTAAATGTTAAGATAAGTTATATTTACCATTTGACGTTGACAAAGAGGTTACTGAAACTTCAACTATTTCTCTACAAAAACAAAGAACAAAACAGCTTAGATCTGCATATCGTATCCCGCCGCAAGTTTACTAGGACGAGAAGAAGGTCCTTACTAGGAGGTTTCGGATTCGAAGAAGCTTGCGGGGGAACGTCTGGTTTTGGTTTTGTTGTTTTTGGTTTTGTTGTTTTTGATTTCGGCTGATTCTTCATCTTCAGAGAATTTCGAGTATAAATTCAACGACTTTGCGCACTAAGAGAGAGATCTAAACTGCTCTACCACACTCCTAATTCAAGAGACTAAGGACCACGTTGACGCTTATATTTTTTCTAAGAATCATCCCTCTACCTCGTGATATGGCGCGCATGGCTTATAGCTATCTTATATCTTATCCTATTTTTAATAGACAGCGTGTTTGGTTACCTTTTGTTGCCATGTCGAATCAGGTTCCTCGCTGGCTCGAAGCTCTGCATGAAAAATGCTTTTTTTCCGCTCGAGTATCATAATTTATTATAGTATCCTAAGGTTATTCTTCTGACGGGTTTAATTTCCATCGTAAGAACATAAAGACGCGAGAAATTGTGCAACACGTTGGTTGAAATAGTAGCGCGACTACTAGTCGTTGGAATACATAAATCGAAGATTTTCTCAAACGTTTTTCTATATCTGATTCTTTCAATTATCAAGGTCGATTTAAGCATAAAATATTGTTGACTTACCCTACATCTACATAATAGTACACCACGAGCCGGATGATCCTAAACGAAAGAGTCGACAACAATCAGCAAAGATGTCGTTTACGAATGGATAAATGACCATACAAAACTAAACCTGATCTATCTCCGCTTTTAACCGGATCGGTGTCAGGATCTTTGTAGTTAATCATTTGGTCTTCTTTCTGTTTCATGTTGTACTTCTATGAGGAACTATTCGATTGATGTAACTGTAATAACGCTCTGCTGAAAAGCGAGTGCTGCTTTTATTGCTGATGAAATCGTGATAATCTTAAGATCCGCTTTCCGCTCTCATAACCCACCGTATTCGTGACAAAAATATTTATCATGGCAATGCTGTTTATTGGCTGTAATATCGACCTGTCAATCTTGCTACAAGATTCTTTGTTACTAGAATGTGATGTGCAACCAATGAGTTGAGGAGGAGAATTTGATTACCACGCCTTTGCCTCCTCGACGTTCTAGACAGTTCTCTTATGAGTCAAGACGATAGCCATATGTCTAACTTGATAGAACCGATGCGCGCATCAAAATAACTTAACAAATCCCTCGTTGTTTAGTCGTTTGTTTAACATCTATTCTTAGAAGATTTACTTACCTTGGTTCTATAAAATTGTACAACAACATTTGCCTGTAGACGAGTCGAAAAATTGTTTAAGTACAAAGAAGTTTTCAAGTTTTTAAGCACTTGTTTTTGTACATACAACATTTACAGCTTGATGGATGTCCTCGGCCACCGCCAGAATACGGATCATTATCAGGATCCTTAAAGTTCTTTACCGTCTTGCTAATATTAATCATCTTGTAGAGAAAATATAGTCACCGCTCGCTTGCACCGAGTACAACAAATCAGTCCTTTGTACAGCCCACGTAAGGAGTCCCATAATTTGATTGACACCTTTCTTGACAGCGTCACGCACTTCGACAAAGGATTGAATTTCTCAGTAAAATCACTTGTAATTTATCTGCGCATATGTGAAAACTTCATTTCTCTAAATAATTCTAGCCCTTTGAGCTCGCTTGAAGTGTTTGTGTTTACTGTATCTATCGTTTTAATCGCTAATTCGAGCCATTTTTGCTCGATTTTCTGAGTTACTGATGCGCGGACCGAATGTCAACTTATTATTGTAAGGATCATTTGAATATCTTTGTACTACCGACCTTAGAAGGTATAATTTCTATTGAAATTGTATAATAGAGTTCGCGCTCAATACATAGTAGACTATAGATTTATCGTATCTTTTCTTGGAGAAACCAATTATCGTTAAGAGAAGCGACGCGCGCAAAATTTTGTTCAAGTAGTGTATTTAATTACTTGATTCAAATCGAGCCATTTCAAAAAAATGGTCTTTCCTAAGGGCTGGTAGAATAAAAAATTGGGGTTTTACTCTAGTTTTTTGCCATGATTTGGTTTGATTAGTGATTTTTTCAGCCCACCTAGAATAAGTGCATTCATACTTCTAGGGGCATTAATTTGCATATTCCCTCGTGCTTGCTTGTAAATATAATGATTCCAAACTTGTCTAATAAACTTCAAACTAACAACCCAGTGCCTTTTTTATCTTTAATAAGTTTAATTACAAAATATATTCTATTCTACATCAAACATTAGTCCTTCATCAACTAAGTACACGATTGTAAAAATGAACCATTTTTGTACACTCCTTTCTACTCCGCCATTCTGCACAGGAAGTCGTTGTTCTTGTTCTTGTCCTTCGACTTTTATTCTGTAAAACAGAAAGAATTAGGCGTTTTACTGTTTAACTTAGGATTCCATTCTAGTAGATAGCAATCGCAAATACTATAAAACCTTTTTTCGAGAAACCACGACAGTATTTGTGGAAGATTAGGCGTGATTTGCGCTCTCGGAGCATGGTCCTTGTTGTTTGTGAAGACACAACAACACTGTCTCCTCGAAGTTTCTGAGATATTTTTCTTAAAACTAATTTGCTCAAACTAGACTATATCCTTGTGAATATTAGACAAAATTATAGATGAATATTCCAAGCCAATTAGTATGAAATTATCGAGCTATCAAAACGTTTATGAGATTTTTTCATAGCACAACAACACAAGATGAAAGAGGCTTTGCTGCATTCTTGTATAGTTATATTTCTCAGATTTGCCAAAGAAAAGTTCAAAAAATTACAAACTTTTTCATTTGTGTGTGATGGATTTTTCTTCTAATATTTTCCTTAATATGTACAAAAAATGTTTAGGTTATGTTTCAAGAATACAATATCTTGAAACAACAACTGCATCTTTATAACCATGGCTGAAATATTTACGATCAATTCATAGAAACTTTTGTGGCAAGCTTCGCACCGAAAAATCGTGCTGGTTATAAGGATAATGGATTTTAAAATAGCCAAAAACATCGACTTATAATATACGAAAAGGACAAAGAGAAATAGATAAATTTAACGACAATAGGAATATTGAGCAGGAGATTTCGTTCGTTATGTTTCGCTTTGATGGCGTCTCGTCTGTAAAATGCGAAGAACTCATCTTGCTCTAGCAAAAGATTTATTGTCCATAAGGTCTTCTTTTTAAGACTTTTGATGGCTAAAAAGGATTTTCGCGGATATTATTTATTATATTTTTATATTTTAAAGCATTTTCAGCGCAAATATTTCCAAGTGAAAGTGTGCGCAATAATGGTGGCGGATAGGTTCGTAATGACGTTTAAGTCTTGTCCTATGAACTCGCTTTTTAAAGCATTTTTAACAAGTTACAAAAAAATCATGGTACTTACCATTGTTTCACAGAATTGTACAGTCTCCGCTCTGATCTGAGGAGAGAAATATAAAGATGCTTGAGAATTTGGAATCCAGGTGTTGTTTATAAATATATTAGCCTTGTTTGCTTGGTTTACTAACTGTTACTCTTTTTCAGGCCATTATTTGGAGGGTCTTTGTCTTTACCGAAAATTGGTGGAATGTCTGGATCTTTCTTTTTCTTATTCTTGTCATCGTCTGACATTTTGTAGGTACTTTTCGTACGACAATTTTGATAACAATTTATTTTTGATGTTGTGGAGCGATTGAAGCGCTTGGATATCGAAATTCCTGTTGATGCTGGCAGTGATCTTTGATTACGCAAAATTATTACATCATCTAGTGACCCCCAATGAAAATGCAAATTATTTTAGAACTTTGTTTCGTGCGCGCACGGTGTACCTCTTTTTCCTATGTGCGCAAACGACCTACTAGATACCCAGAGCATTCTTGTACAGTTAAAAGGAAAACTGATTCATTTTTGGTTAGTTTTAATGTATATAAGTGTCGCAATACAGATGCGTAGTGTTAGGGAAAGAATGAGTTTTGTACAATATCAACTCCATGTTCACAAGAAGCCTATAAGAATTTAGTGTTACAAGAAAAGTATGACTTATATTATTTTTTTCAATAAAATTTGCACCGTTCTTGAAGAATCGAAAAAAATGACAAATCCGGAGGTTTTTTTTAGGCACGTATGATCAGCTTCAAGGATTAATTAATAGACGCAGGAATCCAGAGAAGACTTTCAAAGCTTTTCAAAGTGTTGTGTGGTTTGATCTTTAAAAAAGCGAATAATAAAAAAATATCAAGAAAATCAGAAAAAATTCTTAGATTTTGAAATGGTTATTCGTGACTGATTGATTTTTTGGACCGACGTAAACTTGCGCACAATCTTCAAACTGCGCACATTGTTTAATGGAAAATTACAAAATTAAAACAAAGAATCAAACTTAGTTCAAATTTCCAAGAGAGAAAATAATCTAGATATGAATCAAGTATTATATAGATTGACATAAATGAAATGAAAAAAGCATGCGCTTATAGCCTTACCTTTTGACATTTTGTCTTCACCCTGCTAGAGACATGGCTAGCAACTGCTGGTTTAAGAATGTGCCATCTGTTTTTGAGAATCCAAATCCCTTCTTATTTTTCCTGGTGCGCGTTCCGCATCATTTTCGTTTTCTAGTCGTCTTCCTTCTGCTATAGTTTAGCCAAGGAATTCGAGACTAAAACGATTAAACGTCCCCGTGCATGGTAAGGACGACCACGCGAACACATGTAACATGCATTTCTTTATATATTTTCTATCATCGTAAAATCAAACATTTCTTTCTCTCGTTGCCAGATAATAAGTCTACAAGACAGATCGTGTTTTCATTTTAAGAGTTATTTCAAGATAGGAGGAGCAACTGAAAACGTCCACGCTCGGGGCGGTAAAGAGAATTTGATTTCTGATCAAAGTCTTGATCACCCCTTTTGCGCATGCTCACTGAATAAAGGATGCATGACGAGAGCGTGACAGTATTTTTCAATTTAAAAACGTAGCTAGAACCAAATTTTTTTCTAGAGGGTTTCAAGTCGTGGAGGTGTGTTTGCTCTTCTGTACTTTCTTGGCGTTGGAGCTTCGTATCAAGAGTTCTCGTAAGCTAGACCTTAATTTTTTCTTTTATATTTGTTGCGCGCTCTTGTACTTGTTTATTTTGTTTGTCGGTAGAGAAATGTAGGGCGTATTTTTGGTTATTTTTCTTTAGCAAAGGAACATACGAAATTTTTGGGATGTGGCGCTTATGAATCGTTCATAATCCATCGTTCATAATCTTTGCGCATTGACAACAACTTCTCTCTTCAGTCGATCTTGAGTTTGTTTTAGGATCTCATGCGAGTATGCTACACCATACGTATATCTTTCGCATGACTAGCGCCTCTTTAAAAGAATTATTTTGTTAAGGACAGCAATAAGGTTTAAATTTCGTGCGCCAATTTTTATTTTCCCCTCAAGTTGAAAGTATGGAAGTAGAATGTTTTTTAAGGCCCGTTTCTACAGAGAACAGTCGATGTAGTTATTTTGTGGCGATTTCAACGCGATATCTGCTGCGCCTTCGCTGTAACTCTATATATTGCGCGTGGAAACTGACAATTTTCTCCTCAAAAATTAAATCGCCTAAAAATTACATGAACGTGGTCTGCGATGTAAATTACGTAGTCTTCGCATGTAAACTAGTCTGCGCAACGTTTTAGTTTGCGAAGACAGAATGAACTAGAAAATACTGTGTTGCGCATTGATGAATATACTGTGTTGCGCATTAATGAATATTGCATATTCCGTAAATTGGTTGATGTGTAGCCCCCGTGCAGTTCCTTTTTTGTACGAATACGAATACAAATACAAATATCTTATTTTTATTCAAATACTTTCATAATCATTCTGCTAAATTACAGAAAAAAAACATCTTTATTAAGCAAAACATCTAATAACATCAAAAAAGTTTCCTTTATATTAATCAGATTCTAAAATCGCACCAAGTCTTAACTTTGTATTAAATTATTTTTTTGCTTTACTGTTAATTTTCTAACTTATTGATATATCATCAACATTATATTATTTAACCCAAAAATTGATTAAGATGAAAAAAGTAAAGTTTTAGTCTTCCGAAATCCTTTGGTAGTTCCGTCCAGATAGTCTGCAAAATTAAATAGAGTAAAAATGAATTATCGATTTGCTAAGATTCTTTGATATTTTATTTCTTTATTACTGTATTTTATTATATTATGCGTCACTCGATGTTGATCTTCGCCGCGAGCGCGCGTGATTGTGTGCGCGCGTAACCTTTTGTGTGCGTGTGCACCATAAACCACGAGAAAGATTTCTAGCTGTTTTTGCTATGAAAACATATCAAAAATACATAACTAACTTAGTGTATGAGTAAATAAGCGCAGTGTAGAACAGTGTATGATAGCTCAGGTCTTGACTGACAGTTTTACATCGTAGACATCGTATAGCCATCGAACAAGCATGATTTCATAGCGTAAACACTCTCTGGGTTCCCTGTGTTATTTATGTCATGACTGCTTGCCTACTGAATATTTTAAAAACTAAAGTCAAAGGCTTGAAAGTATGAAGATGCACTTACTTTCGTCCGGCATCTTCTCTAGTACGAAACTGTTTCAGAGTGAACCCAGTGTGTGTCATCATTGCTCTCATAATCTGGAAAAGGAAAACGAGTTTCTTTGAATTTGCATATGAATAAGTTTTCATTTAGAAGTCGTAAAGTATATAAGTAAAAGGAAATCTATATAATATAACTATAAGAAAGTTTCCTAGGATATAATTTATCTTTGGAGTAGATAACATAGTTTATAAACTTACTGTTAGGGCCTCTTCGGGATATAACTACAGTTCTGTACTCTACTGTATATATATAAATATCATCGCCCTGAGGAGTAGCTTCGACACGCCAATACTGTCCTTCTTTTGCTTCATAACCTAAAAAAGAAGCGTTGTAATAAAAATGTTAAGATATCAATTAAATAAGACTGAGATATTTAATGCATTAGGTTAATATTTTGAAAAATTCACGAGCATATTGTTGGATCTTACTGCCAGTGTGTGAATCACGATCCACTACCGCAACCTGCCTAATGCCATGATATACACGAATTCTTTCGTATTGCCTTGTTCCGTAGTCTTCCCACGTTTTAAATGCTCTTGCCGCGCTCATTTTATACTGTAGATTGTACCTCTTGCACGTTTACAAAGTTTTTTTTCCTGTTCGAGAAAAAAATGTCTTCCGAAGCACTTTCTCTAGAGCATGATTTGTCATCTGACATAATTTTTGAATATGCACTGTGCGGAGAATTTCAAATCTAATCAGCGTAGGTTCTCCAAGTCAGATTTCTATTTCGCGACAATTTTAACCGCACGAAAAGTTCTTAACTTTAAGTAGAAATTTAAACAGTTTTGAAACTCCAAATCAGGGATAGTCCAACAGGAACTTTGTTTATCTTTTCCCCTCGTAAAATAATTGTTGTGGCGAAGGCGCGCAATAAATGATGGAAATTTTAGTCTTTATTGAAGTGAGACGTTATCTAGATTCACGCATTATCCAAGATTACACGTTACAGATAATGTATCATAATTTTGATTCATTTATTTTACAAATTCATACGAATTATTGACCTCCTGATATTTGCGCATCAATGCAATGCGTCGTGTTTGTATAACTAATATCACACGTTTACTCGATTCTAACCTTGCGCAAATCATTTCTTTGTTGCTGAAAAAATGTACTCAAATAAAAAATTGTATTGCGCACTGTACTAAACACGAAAAATAGGTTTGTTTTATAGGGACGCTCTCTATATTAGTGAAGGGTGTGGATGCTCTTTGCAAAATTTTGAATCTATTTAATATTTTTTTCTTTCTCCCTTCCATAAGCTGCTCAGTTTTCAAGTGAGAGGCTTAGTTTTTACACATGTTTTATTCTTGTAAAATGTTTTACATTGTATCAACAGATAAATGAATAGATCCAATCTGCAGAATCTCCCCCTCGTCTTCTTCCGCGATTATATCTGTGAAACAAAAGAATTAAAAACCTACTTCATTGCAATAATAACGTTAAGAAATTTTAGACATTTATGCACAATATAGATAAATGAATAATAGATTCAATTAGAATAATAAATTCAATCAGAATCTTCATTTTATATTTTCATGCATGATTTTGGTTGGATCCTCCTCTTCTTCTTCCACGATTATTTCTGTCAAACGAAAGAAAGAAAACATTTACTAAACAAAGTTAGTTCCTGCGCAACAAAAGCAAGTGTACTTTGCGCAGTTAAAAAGCTGTTTTATGAAAGCTTTTCACAACGAAAAACCAATATTTTTTAACATTGTTTACAGTACTTTGTTGCGCAAGTTTATAGCTTTAATTCGACGCAGCTTGAGTGTTTTCATATATAATAACAAGAACTGCTCTTGGTGTTAAATTCTACGCATGAAAGTTTTCCTTCAGAATATATTTTGAGTTTAAACTATATATAACTAAATTAGTTTTTTATTAAGTGACCACCTTATCCTGGTTGTTTTTTTTGCACGGCAGTTTATGTCCACCGTCTTGCTGTAAACATCATGTTCTTTATCCACCACATAGTCTAAAGAGAAAAATAATAATGTCGGTAGTGTAAAATCATCTATCAAGTCATCAAGTACAGAATATTTCATTTGTTCATTTTGTTATGAATTTCTGAATCCCGCTAAAATAATCTCCGTCTCTACATACTTACCATTGGGGCCTTTACGAGTGATCTTAGCCACCCTTGCCTTCATTGTCGTGTTCATAATGAGTGTTATTTCATCTCCTGCTTTTGTGGATATGGTATCAACTATGTATCCTCTTTCTGCTTGGAATCCTGAAAGAAAAAGTGAACAAATTTGGCTTACAGACGTTCGTTGTTTATCCAAGGGGGGCAAAGTTGGACGACATTTCCACACAGACCACGATTTGTTAGAACACCTACTTGCACTCGTTATAGTTGAATGCGTCCATCACAAAACACACGCGCAGTAAAAACTAGATTAATACACGTCGTAGACACGTTTCCCTAAAGTTTAGTCTTTACTTGTTAAAAATAAATATCAAGATAGAGCTTTCAAGAGGGGGAGGTGCATCGCATGGGACTCAAGGTCCCACTTCGCGCCTACCCTCTTGGTCCTTCTTTCTTGTGTCATTATTATTATTTCCTTTAGTATGCTTGTTAATTATTTTGTTCATTGAGAAATTTGAAGGCCAATAAAGCTGTTAAAAAAAATTCAAAATGTTCTAATCTAGGTCGGTACTACTCGATGCCTTATACAAGTTTGAAGCTTGATCATAATAACAAGGGCAGTTATAAGTAGCTTCAATGTTTGCGTGATACACGAAAAGTAAGAGTTACCCTGGATCACGCAACAGTTGAGTTGATTCACCAGCAGTTCTTAAATTAAGTCAAATGTTCAATCTTTACGAGGTCGTACAAGATGTTTATGCTGATATTTGTTTGTGAAGTCCACACATAAACTTCAATAAATTAACGATATTTTTTTGCTATAATTTCTAGGACTGTTAAAATGTCTTAAATATAAACAAGTACAAATATAGTACAAAACACTTTTGAGTTTCCTAGGACAAGATGCTTAAGATGTAAAAGTTTGAAGTCGTTTTTAACTGATGTTCAAATCTGTGTTGTACAAGACTTTTTTTGAAAATACTCAACACATGAATTAGTTCTTCATCTTTCATCTTATTCGAAGTTTCGTTCTTCGTTAAGTAAATTAAGATTATAAGCTTAGAATGTACACAACCTCGTATGATTTGAGTCGAGTTTGTTGTACACAAATTTGATCCAACTCTTTTGCAAACTATTCTTAAAACCTCTTCATATATCAGTTAAAAGTGCAAAAAAAATTAGCTAGTTCAATGATGATGAATTTTGGGTATTCTTAAGTACTAGACTACGATATAAAGAAAGTTGCTTGTGTGTGTAGCTTCACTGAACTTACCGTCATCTCTTGGATCACGATATACTATCCCCAAAGGCTCGTATACAAATCTATCTTCTCCTTTCGCAAATACTTCAATAACTTCGAAAGTTTTAGGTTTATCGTCCTCGTCACTTTCATATCCTTTAGCTGACATTTTGATTGCAAAAACCATGCGTCCCTTCAACACAACGCGCCTTCACCTCATGACGTCACTAGCTCATTAAAACTGATCAGGGTATTGAGAATTTAGCGCTAATCAGCTTATTCCTTGTTCCACGCAGAGTTGACCTTTTCAAACCATGATTTTTGAGACCCCGGTCTTTAGATTTGCTTCTATTTCTTTCAAAGTTGTGAACAGATTGATTCTGTTTCACTATATGTTGAGCGTTATTTATAAATACCATATATTGAGCTTTCTTTTATAATTCACAAGCAAAAATTATCGCACGCGCCAAGATCAGATACCTCCAAAACATAACCCTTTCTAAAATTAGGAACTCCATTATTTATCCAAGTATGCGCAAACGTGATACTGCATGTAATGTGGCTTATTTGTGTAGTGGCTTATTTGCATTAAATCTTGAAGGGAATTCTTGTCACGCATGATTCGCGGGAGGCGCGCGCGCACTTCTCGAAGTACGTTTTTATGCCCAGTAAATGCGTGTGTTGCTTAAAACCTCAAGAATTACGAGAATGGCATACACTTGGATTGTTTACAGCGTTTATTTCTACAATAGCTTTTACATTGTTGTTGAGATGTGCTAAACTATCTTTGGGTTGCATCATTAATTACGCCAGTGATATTGTTCAATAACTATTTGAAATTACATAAGTGTTTTGCTGGCGAGTGTCTTGGGTGCAAGTTGATTATAGCGACTCAATTAAAAGTATAGTTTAATAAATGAGCAGGAGTGTTTGAACGACTTCAAAAATGCATGAATAATTAATGAGCATTCATAGTCATTATTCGTGACATGCTCTTCTACTCGTTTGGTCCTTTATAAAGATTTCAAAATCTTTCTAGCAAAAGTAGCAAAAGTATAAACACAGCCGGATTTTAGTCTTGTAGAAGTGAGTCTCGTACCCCATTCATACCAAAACGTGTTTAGTTAAACTATGTTTTCATTAGGAAAAAAATTAAGAAACTAGAAACCTACAATATAATAAAACTTTCTAAAATATTATCAAAGCAAGACACAGGATAGTTTGCATGCATTATTTTACCAAACATTGTGCAGTGTTCGTAGATAGTTTTCCAAACCTATTGTATTGGGTTCAAGTTGATTATAGCGACTCGATTGAAATTAGAGCTAAATTATAAACACATATTTCATTTTTTTCAATGTTCCTTTAAATGATGAAAGACCTGAAAAATAGAAAAGAAAAATAGAAATCCAACAAAAGAAAATATTTGATAAAACATCAAAAATATTGTGAAAATTTAAATATCGCTTTAGGAAACTGAGTTGCTGCTGTGCGCACTTAAAGATTTCATACTCTACGTCATTATAAACACAATAAGAGCCTTTGCATGCTAATACCACAAGACTTTGGTTGATGATACATACGAAAACGATGACTAATAATATGTGGACATGGTTCCCGCGCATCTATTTTTAGGCTCAATATCGTAAGATATGCTGAGTTGCAAGTTGTCATGATAAAGAAGGTTCGAAGGATCTAGTAAGTTTTGGATAGTGCGGGCTTCTCTATTCCATAAATTTAATCCTGTATTAAAAGATCTTTTGGATTATTTTCAATCAAACGTTAAATAAATATGGTCATAAACAATTAGCAATCCTAAAATACATTTGCGCATTTTTTTTATATCAAAAGGAAAAATAATGAAAAATATATAACTGAAAAATAGTCAGCGCGCTTCATAATATGACCTAGTATTCTTCTAGACTCTATTGGAGTAAAGCGCAATTCAAATATTTTCCCTCCTACCTTCGTTATCTTCTACTGTCTTTATCAGCAATTTAGTTCTGAAAATAAAAATAAAAATAAACTTGGATGTAGTCAGAAAAATGTAATTATCAAAATAGTTATTACTAATTAAGAATATATTTATATATACTTTTGTAATGGCAATGTAAAGGATCGCTGCTAGGACTCCAATTACCCCTACTACCCCTACAGTCACGATGGTCCATTTACAACAGCGTCGGTAGACATTACGACCATCGTCTGGGTGTTTGTATTCTAGACACTGTACGTTTGTCATCTCAAAGCTTCACTTAGTTGTTGATGGAGTGTTGTAGTTGTGCGCGGTCGTACGCTCTGAATCGATGTCCTCTACCAACTACCAACTTTCTCATTTATAAGTAGTCTATATACTAAAGGGGGATTTGTATTTTCACGCATGCTTAACATGACGTCAAATTGTGCTTAGTTGCATCTAATAACATGAAGTAAAATGTGATGAGAAGGCATTTTCCCCTTCTGTTTTGCTTCTGGTGAAAAATGCGCACGATTAGAAACTTACGACATTATATTGAAGCGCGCTTATTCTTATCTATTTTTAGTTTTTTCATTTATATTCACAAATAGGTAAACGTTGAATCCGCAAAAAAAGTGTTCTTAAACCTTCTAAAGATTTGCGCAAAGGTACGACCATGACTCTCGTTTTAGAAAAAATACTGCATCTTATATGTTAGCAAAACATTCGAATGTTATTTTGATTTTTTATATCTTCAAAATTAATGCTGAAAACGAGCGCGCAGTAGCTTGAACGAAACGAATAAGAATCTATGTACATTATTTGGATTAATGAGGAAATAGAAAACGTGCGCGCGTACTGTGTACAGTTGATTAAGCACAATAGGAATGGTAGGTCACTAGAGAAAGCATTACGAGAAGCACGATTCGTAGCGCAGCCACCCACCAATCAGGAAGCCGAGATTTAATAACAGTTATTTCATTGTGCGTTGCGCGAGACGTAATTTGTTATTTTTAAAACATGAATTTGTCCGGGTATATTTTAAACGTAGGAGATAACGAAAATATATACACAAAAGAGAAAATTTTTTATTTGTGTTTGCAATAGGCATAAATTTGAGATTGGAGTTTTTTGTATCCTATTTTAGTATCTTAACATTATGTATTTTCAGAGAATTCTGTCATCTAAGGTTTCTCTGGACCATCAAGTAGTTATATGTTGATATTTCGTAGGCTTTCTCTTTGACTTATTTGTCGCTCTTAGCGTATAGTTCGGCCTTCCTTAAGCAATCTAGACAAATTAATTAAACTATTTTGATCGGTTGTATTTCGAAGAGTGAAGATTAAAGTAAAAGCTCTAACAGCCGGTCATCTTCGATGATGTACTCGAAGGATTGAAATGTTTAGGTGTATATCAGCACCCGTAGGCTGTCTAGTTAAGATTAAAAACACGATGAAGTGTTCTCAAGGAAAATACCTTCATGAAGAAAAATAACCAATACAACCTCCAAATACTCCTCCTCCTATTCCTCCTACGGCGATATACCCTCCGACAACCGCTCCAACGGGAACAGCACAAAATCCTATTCCAGCTCCCACGATTCCCGCTACTACTGCTCCTACGACAGCTCGTTTGCCAGGTTGCGGTGGTTTGGGATCTGGGTTTTGTCTGTTGTTTGGCATTTTGTCACTCTGATTTTAACACGAACCTTTGTGTCGCAGTATTATCGGGCGAATGATAAAAGTGCAACTAAGCATTTCGTAAAGCGCAAGTCGCTGAGCCTAATATATCTACGTCAACAATGATTTTTAAAAAAATCCTATATTTGGATAGTTATCTTAGGGTTAGCCGAATTTTAATAGAAAAACTATAAAACTGACTGTACTCTGAACGAGATAACTTCAATAAGACATTATCTAGATTCACGTATTATCTAAGATTGTCCGTTACAGATTCTGGACCATAATTTTGGTTCATTTATTTTAGAACTTTACGCGAACCATTGGACCAATATTTTTATGTTGCGCAAACCTTAAGATGATATTCCAGATTTCTAATCTTAATCAAAAATACCGGCCACATTGTGGATTGTGCTAGAATAATTTAATTCCTGCAAAGAGCTAAACTTAACTATACAACATTTCTCTAGGTACTTGGCGCACAAGTAAATAACAAGATCAAACAAATACAATTCACACTACGCTTCTATCTTGATATAAATATATTGTACCTTAACTTATTTGCACTCTTTTTGAATACTGCCAGTGGTCGTCATCTACAGCTTCGTAACCTGTAAAACGTTATGGAATAAAACTGAGTTGTGACCATAAGAATTTTGACCCACAAATATTTTTAAAGCAATATGTCACTCACTGGATGGACAGTAAGAACAAGGTGATACTGAAAAAAATTAAACTGTTTGTAATACTTACTTAAGACTCCGTTCCTCCTAAATTTTGCAACTTTACAGTTTTCCGTCACGATCTTTACAGTATTGTACCTGGTAGAGATGATCATTCCTCGCATAGGGGAAAATGCTGAAAGTTAGAAATACACTTTTAGTGTGAATTCACAGGAACTCGCTCTACCTTGACTTAGATCAGCCTAGAGGTTGTTTCAAGATTCAATAAAATTGGGTTTTAGGAATTGTGCTTCGACCGTGTATAGAGTGTTTATATCTTCCATCTATAGTACCCAATGTATACCGACGAGAATAACGAAGAAAGGTATAGTTCTTTTGAGTCTTACTTACTTTTATTTGAAGAGCGATGAACAATCGCAGTCACTTTATCGGTGGCTCGTTCTACGACGTAAATTACTTCGTGATAGACCTTATCGTTTTCATCGTTTTCATGAGCCATTTTGACGAGAGTTTAGGTTTTTTCTTCTTGTCTGCTGTCGTTCTCGGTACGCGCTAACGTTAAAACTATCCGTGACGCACTGGCTTTATATGCATGAGAATATGAAGGGGATTTTTCTGCGGTATTTTATACATTGTGAGAGAAGCAAAGGCTTAAATATGCTGACTTGCACAAGTCTAGTTAGATGGCTGGTAGGGAGATTTAGTTATTTCCCTATTTAGATACACGTCGAAACGCATACGAAGCATGAAAATGATTTATTTTATTGCTTGAGGACGTTGTCAGTAGCGCGCAGCGATAGAAAAGCATAAAAATATAGCATAGAACTTTAAATATTTTCACTTGATATTATATAGCTCGTTAGTGTTTTATTTTTTCGAAAACATTATTCAGAATTTCAACACACAAAGCGAACAACGCAGTTGGACTTATTTTAAAATAATGCGCAACGTCAGTCACACTCTGCGTCACGTTGCTGTTGATTCAATAATCTGCGCGCGTGACGCGCGCGCGTTTCTAGAAATTGCGTGCAGCATCATTATTCATCAAATCCCATATCCGCTAAATACTGAGAGCAAACGAGATTTTTTCACAACGTAAATTTTATTTATCAATGAAGGCAGTCCTAAAAAATTTTTACAGTGATATTAATAACTTTTATCTTTTCTAAAGCTCAAAAGCGCTTGACAAATCATCTATAATTGATGGAAAGACCTACACTATATGAATATCTAGAAAACAAATTTAGTAAATAAATCTCAATCCCTACTCAGTTTTGAAATTGCAGTGCTAAAATATACTAAAATATACATCGAAAGAACTTAGCGTCATGTTTCATCTAATGAGAGATTCTTATATTGGTCTTCTGTGGTTTCGTTTCATTTCGCATCAGATTTTCCATCGGATTGTCATTTTCGGTTCGTCATTTTGCAGTTCTTTTAGATACATGGTTCTAGGTAATTCCAGGTAAATACATTGAATTAGTTTTTAAGACGTAATAACAATTCGTTGTTTGAAAAGATTCAGTTTGTAGGCTCTTCTTGTGGTGATGTAGGTCTTGATATCTCTCTTTCTTAAGGTCTCTCTCTTTCTTCCTTTCTCCTTCTTGCGCAAAGCTCCTTCGAAAAGATTCAGTATGAGGCTGGTCTTGTGGTGATGTTGATGTTGATATCTCTCTTTCTTAGGGTCTCTCTCTTTCTTCCTTTCTCCTTCTTGCGCAAAGCTCCTTCGGTGTACATCGTGCAATACTACTCGTGCAATACTAGTCCTATAACATAAAACAGAAGGATACTTTTTATTTAATATGGTAATGTAACAAAAAATTAATCTAGCGAGTTAAATGATTTGGAATGCGTTGGATAAAAAACTACACCACGAAAGACCAGTTGAAGTATAACGAGACCACCATGACGTTCTGATAGAACGTTCGTGTCGAAGTCGAGAAGCGAACTTAATATTAATTATTTTGATCGAGCGATCTTGAGCATTTAGTTCAGTGTAGCAGCATTTTTTTTCTGTTTCCTTCCCTTGATTCGTTTCAATAATTTTCCTTAAAGGTTTAACATCTTATTGTAAAAAGTGTTGTTCATGGTGTTATTCATGTGCCAAATGCTGTTCTTCGTTAACGCGTACTTGCTTTAATAGAAGTCAACTTACCATCAGTGCTCTCTTCATTGATAAAACATGTAACCTGAAATGAAAAGGAAGGAATGAGAAAAGAATACAAATAAACTATTGCTCCTCTTCAGTACTGCTTGTGCGCAGAAAGGTTCGATAACGTTTTTCTTTAACCCACCTTTACTTATCCTCTAAAAATATACACGAGGACTCCCACCGCAAGTCCCGCCACTATTCCTAAAGCTGCTAATACTTCTCCGTTACCATCATTTGGAGCATCATTCTCCTTGTTCTGACGGTTATCGCCTGGCATATTTGTTACTCAAATCGCTTCCAAAATTTCAAGTTCTGGTTAGCAAGTCTTCGGTGAATAGAAACTGCGCAATTGCAGTATACCGTTATAAAGTGAAATAATGAAAAGAAACGCGCATGCTCAGTCACATGATTATCGCTAACAATAACTTCAAGTCAATGATTGACTATGTTCGGTATTCGCAAGACACATATACATTAAAACGATGATTTATAGAGACTGTGAAATCCCTCGATATATTAAAGTCTCCCGCGACTGTTCCCCTTTCCCCAACCAACTCGAAGGCTTAACATTGATAATAATACAACGATAACGAACGCTGATATCGATTCACTTGTTTATCCTGAAAATGCTTTCCGAGTACTCGAAAGAACGGAAGCAAATGTCCGTTACTGCGGTTTTCGATATTCTGTGAACTCCAACATTTATACTGCTCGTTGTGCAGTTGTTTTTTCACTGCCGCAAGTCAAGAATATAAAAGGTACCGACTGATTACGATTTTTGATTGACAGCAGCAAAAAAAAAAAAAAAAAAAAATTCAGCGTGCAGCTCGCAACGACCGAGTTTGCAGAATATCGAAAACCGCAGTAACATGGCAACGAATGTTTCTCGTTTTGATTCCTCCTTACATTTCTAGCTCGCGATTATTTTTCATATTACGATTACGCAAGTCACTAGCAACTCAGTCGCATTCTACTCGATCTAGGAAGTAGTGAAACCAAATTTTATTCATCACATGTAAGCAGGTTGTTTCAGTGTTCTATAGCAATAGAAGATCCCAACTATTTCCCCTATTACTGCTGACAGTACTGCTATGACATAGATTATTGCTATATCTTTCTTTTCGTTCTTTGTCGATTGATCCGAGTCATCATTTTCAACTGAGTTATCCCTCACCGTTGTGTTCTTTGCTCGCTCCGTCCCTTACTCTAATAGTTGTGCACCCTAGTCACTTAAATTTATAAGAAAATATTTTGCTCCTTAACCATGTATTCAGCGCACACGATAACTAATCGACCCATGGTTAGATTTCGTGGAGTAGTGGCTTAGAATATTTACTCTTTTTTTACATGCCAACTAAACATTATTAAAGTTGAAATAAACACAGAAGTATCTCATACTAACCTTAACGTAGTAGACTGACAACAATTAGCACACTGAAAAAGAGCAGAAATGTTATAAATAACATATTGATTTATTTGTGGGATAGAATGAAATTAAGTAAATAGGAAATGCTGTAACCTTCATTTGTGTTTTTAATATACGTTAAATGGTTCCCAGAGCAAGATAAGAACGATGATAAGGATAACGGTGAATGCTAAACAAACATAACAGCATACTCTCGATGGAGCACCGTACTCCAACATTTGAAAGAGAGACATATTGCTTTCCCTTCAAATCTTCGTTGTTCTACTTTCAGAGCGACAACTTCACCTGTGGGGCTTCGTGGGATTATTAACTTGTAGTCGCTTAGCTAGTTTTATAATTGCCCCAGAATCTTATGTCATTTATATATTTTACGTCATTTATATTTATATGCTGCTGCAATTTTCCCCAACACTTTATTATTTACCAGAAAAAATTTTAGAATATGCTGGTTAAGCATCTTACATACCCGCGCATTACTAAATCATCGGTATATGAGGATTAACATAAGATCTTTTGGTGGTTTCCCTCTCATTCTTTACTTTTCATTCACGAGAAAAAATAAATGTGAAATAGCTTGCAATAAAATCCAATAAGGTTATACTATTAAATACCTCTTATATTGCCTGCTATACGTTTCTATTCGGTGCGTACATATGTGTAAGGTCCAAACAGTCGGATTTGGATCGGTGTTGGTGGCGTGATGTTTTGATTCGTTTCGTGACACACGCGCGGAGAGAGGTCAGATTCAGCATTCAGTTTCTAGGGTGTGGCAATAAATATCGATCTAGCACAGGCTACAGACATCGTCAGAACTTGAAAACAGAGAAATAAATGTGTTGGAGATGCTTCCACATCTTGCCGAGAACGGTTTTAGGTTTCTTTCCCAAACGACGCGAATCTTACGATGAACGCTGGCCTTACGATGAAGGCGCATATTCTCCTATCATACCCGGCATATATTTTTTTTGACAATGTCAATCACGTTCTTCTCATCTGAAAGGAATGCGCTTAAACGCACTTTATTCATTTGCAAGCAAGCACATTTTTAACAGTAGGAAGCCTGTTACCCCCTAGATTTTTCCAATGTCAATGAATGTCAACCATCATCTTTATTCATAGACACCATTAGTTGCGATTCCCTTAGTAATAAATCTTAGAAGGACGAGGAGAATAGAAGGATAATAGAGAGTTGGATTTTTGACAATGGGGATGACTCTTAAAGCACTAGATTCTAGTTTTATTTCATGAAGAATAGGCAACTTTCATTTCCTTATGAGTCAGCTGCTTCAAACTTGCTGGCTTAGCGCGTCCTTTGTGTTTGTTCGAGTATGATTAAAATTATAAATAGCTGACATTGGCTTGTAGTTGTTATTGATTAGACCCAACCAGCCCTCACATGTTCTGAATCTTAACCAATGAGAGACAAACCTGTGTAATCCAGAAGATTCTTTGGCCTAATAAGGGAAATTTCCCTTCTCTCGCCCAAAGCGTTGACGCGCAAACTTCATTAGAAATTCTGCATACGAGCAGTTTCAAGTCTTGAATGACTCATCATCAAAAACAAGCTTTCAGTTTTTAAACCACCAAGGTATTTCCCCTGTTTGTGTGCTATAAATCAGTGAAGCTTGGCTCAGAAAAGTTATTTATCACTTACTTCGCTAACGAACACGATGGAAGAACTCAAGAAGCTGCCTTCTAGTGAATTTTGTAATGCTGCTGCTTTTGCTTGGGCTTGCCAGCTGACAGGACCGAAACCATATCAAAATCCCGAGCACGATCCGCCTTGTTATGAAGGTACGTCTGTTCTCTCTTGATATTTCGTATTTTTTCATATCTAATTATTATTGTCGATTTCTATCGCTTCTTTAATCGACGCTGAACTAAATTTTTTATTATTTCTTTTCAGATGATGAAGACGACATGACAGAGAGTCCAAAGAGTGCAGTAGAAGATAGTTCGACTGAGCAGAGTGAAGAAATAAGAGCAACTACTTCGAGTAAAGAATAATGAAACTCTATCCTTGATCGACAAAGTTACAGACAGGTTTTCTGTTTTAGACTCTTGTCTTTAGCTTGAAACACTGTATCCTTGATCGGCTCAGCCGTGTCGATCAAGGATAGTGTTTCGTAATGAAAACCGAAACACTGTTCTTGGTGGTCACGGCTTCGTCGAATAAGCAAAGCAAAGATGCCTGCCTTGAGGACAGAAAGCTTCAAGCTCAAGAAATAAGAGATTACTTCAAGAAGTGAGACATTTATAAACATTTATTTTGAACTAACGCTTTCTGTCTGTCTGATATACTTATTTTTATGCATGATCACCTCTCGTGATTAAGGTCGATAATATCTCAACGCTTTAGGTGTGAATCGATTCAGAAAATAGACTTTGTACAAAAAATGTAAAGTTAATGGTATGAATAATTTTCGCTTGAAAAAACCCTGATTGATTTGTTTATAAAATGTATTTAGCAGGATGTAATGTTATCGAGAAGATAACCTTATTCACAAAATTAAAGTATGATTATGCATTCAATAGTGTAACGCAAATCGGTAGTCTAATTATTCAATACTTTATGCATAGATTTATCGTTGTAATGTTTTATAAGATATAAATTGAAAATAAACGTACGTTGCAATCAAATCTTCAAAGAAATATTTCTTTTGGTTCTTGACGTGGTTGAGTTCTTACAGTATTTATAGTGCTTTCAGAAGAAAAAAAAAGCACCTATTATAATTTATATTTATTTTCATCTACGAATTTCATATAAGAAAAATCTTAAGAATAGGGGGATTTTTACCTTTATTTTTGCCTTAGAATACTGCACCTTTAAAAGATGCTTAAGGTGCACAATATTGAATAAAATGGGAGGCCATGCACGGTCTTACTCATTTCGGTACTTTCCCAATACATAGTGCGTTGTCAGCAATTCTTTAACGCCCTCACATTCGAACGAGATCTATACACGTTTACCAACAAAACTATAAAATTCACACTTAGAAATCCCATTTTAGCGGCTCAAAACCCGTATATATCTTAACGAAGAGTTTAGAAAGTGCTCTGTTATAATGAGTTGCAGTTTCACGTCAAAATAACGAATCTATGGGAGCTCGAAAATGGGTTATTTTCGCTCTTTTCAGAACGTAGTTTCAATCAGGCGTAACTTTTTGTTGTCGAGAAGGGTCCTGGAACCTAACTAGTATATAAAATGGCGGCGAAGGAGTTTAAATTCGATGTTCACAAGAAAAAGGTATTGCTCTCAGCATTGTCCCCCCGATTGCTCACATTCCTACCTTATCACTCTCTTCTTTCTTTCGATATCATTATAGTGTAGTTTGAAACGAATTTCATTTTTAAATCCTACATAAAATGGTCAAAGGAAGTTCATGACTCATGGATGGGACTCTAAGCTCAGGCAGCGTTAAATATTTTCGTAATAACATTGTAGGACTAGCTCATTCTCGTTTTCAACCCACACCATTATCACCAACTATGTGCTTCTGCACTCAACTTCCTTTCCTTCACAACTCTTTTGAGTCAGGACATATTTCTAGTGGCTATTAAAAGATTCAATTTTTTGGCCTTCAATTTAATACATTAAACTAGATTCCAAGGCACGTTTACCAAATAAGGAATGTGCACTGTTTGCAAAAATAAATAGCTTATATAGCAAACAAAGTCTATGTTTTACAATCAAAGTACAGTTTACTTAGTGACCAAAGTTTAACTTATGACCATTTGACATTAGAATTTTTGAAATTCGAACTTTAAATAAATTGCTTTCTTCTATATTTCTTTTTTGGTCTTGCACGTTTCCCGCCTCTCCTGTGATTTAGGAATATTTTACTTTAGTATTTTTACACAAGTGAATATAATAAATCCAGCAGGCTCATTGTTCACAATTTACGAGCACACGCTTGCTCATTTGCTGATTTGTGCTGCTTGAAGAGATAAATAAAATTTGAAAAATTAAACAAAAAAATTCACTCCATTATTTATTAAATCCTCTTGTGTTAAAAACAGTCAAACAATTATTCACCTCAGGGTCAGTGAATATTGGGGAATACTTAACTTGCTGCTCAAAGAATTGCATTTTGGTAAATATTCCCCGATATTCACTTCGCCTTTGGCTAAAATTATTGTTAAATAATCTTATAATATCTAAATTCCCTATCATCATAATAAGTTCAATTTATTATGAATGACTGCCAGGCTTGTCCTCCATTTCTTTAAAAAAGCATTTTCATGGTTTATTTTTGCAATGTTGGTATTCAATTTATTAACATTACAAAAACCATCATGGTACTACCCCTGAGGACTTGTCATCGAATGTTAATGTGATTAAGAAATGCACGGGCAAGTTCAAATGCTTTGTTTATGAAATGCTTTTTATTCAATCAAAAAAGCCATCACTTAATGTTCAGTCTGATTACCTCAAGGCCAAGCTCTTTCTAAAATGCAAATTTTCTTTAATTTATAAATAGTCATGATTTAGATCCATTAAACACACTTGATGAGGTCAGCATGACCTCGAAACGTTTTGAATCACTGTCTATATCGTTTCTCATATTTAATAATGTTGGTATTGTAATGTATATTTTTAAATTTTATTTGTAGTAAATTATACTTCAACCATCAAGTAATATGAAAATGTTAATTTTGAAGCTTTCTTAAGCCCCATCTACACTGGTGATTTTTGCTGTGATTTTTGTGGCAATTTTAGGAAATATAAAATCTTTGGTCTCATCCTTCAAAAGAGACATTTGTGTAGGAAAATCTTGGTATGCTGAATTAAACTTTACGAAAAAAATGCAGCAAAAATTGCCGCAAAAATCGCTAGTGTAAATGGGGCTTTATCATCAGGATAGCCATTAAAAAGGCATTATGCAGAGTATGGTCTGGTGTGAACAGGGTATTAGATTTATTTGAATTTCATATTCAAAGCCTTCATTCACAAATGAAATCAATGTTAAATAGAATAAAAATTCATGTTTTTTGTTTGGAAGAAAATCCCAGCCTGACATCAGACTTTTCTAATAATTGTCAAGATTATTACGAATCTATTGTCCAAAATTGTATTTTCTGTTTTAAAAAACTTGGCCTTTATCATTCTGAAATTATTTACCTCTAAGTAAAAGCAAAAATTCCAAAATTAACACAATCACACAGGAAGAAATCCTTTCAAAGTTTTTTTCTTCGCACTTTTTCAATTATAATCATGATTATTATAAATAATATACACAAAAAATGAGAATAGAAAAAAAGAGCTATTTCTTTTTCCCTTTTTTTCCTTTCTTCCCTTTCTTCCCAGACTTCTTTCCTTTCTTTCCCTTTTTCTTTTTCTTTTTGCTATATGGTCCTAACTGTCGCCTGACCATAACTCCTCGCCACCACGACTGAATCTACAATGAATAACAAAATGAAAAATATTTATTATGGTACACAATCTTGAAAGGGTTTTGTATATTAATCGTCTCTTGAAGGTTTTTAGGCTTTTTTCTGTTCAAATAGTTCATGGTAATCTAAATCCCTTAGTTATTTCTGTTATGTCTCATAATTCAAGCTCAAAATTTAGTTAGAATATAACATGTTTTCCACTATACGTACTGCAAGGAAATTATGATATACAGCATATTTCAGATAAAAATTTGGATATCATTTGGATATGCTAGACACAATCATTTTCTAGTTTGCAAGGTTGCATCTGACTTGATATCAATTAAAAAAACCTCAGCAACAAAAAAATATTTCTTCATTGCTTCATGCTGATAAAGACAACAGGCCCAACAGGTTCATGGGCAAAGACTATATGACTGTCAATCAAATAGATCCTTCCTGTGTACTCCGCTTGTTCCCACATACTAATAATATAGTTGATTGATGGTAGTATATTGGGATAAAGTCACCTGTTGTATCCTTTTATATTGATTAGTGGATAGCAACTAAAACAATGATCCATTCAATAGTGTCTTTACCAGAATCAGTAAAAGTGCTCCAGTCAATCTTACCTTGATGGTAGCTTTGAGTTCTTCTGCTTCTTGTTCAGCTTGTCGTCTGGCCTTTTCTTTCTCTACACGATCTTCTATGACAACTTTTTCATATTCCGAGTACTACAATAAGATAATCCTTAGTTAAGGTTTGGTTAAATTAAGTTAACCTTCAGTTGGTGTAAGGACCTCAAATTTATAATTTTTTCATTCTTATCACTTCACATCATCAATAGACCCGCCTTGCAACACATCAGAATTTAGCTAAATTTGAAGGATAATCTAACAATAATTTCCCAATTCTCATGAGATTGTAATTCTTTTACTTCCAAATTGAGCTGCATTGATATCACTTGCACCAAGTTTTACAGCTTCTTCATATTAACTTCTACTTGAGAAAATCGTAAATATTTTTAGTTCAGGTCCATTTAAACAGTATAGTAAGGGTCTTGCACCAATCCCATTAGGTATTTGAAATGAAAACATTTTCTTTAAAGAAGTACAGGAAATAAGGAGGAAGTCATATACAGTAAATTATAATGTATAGCGATGCTGTTTCTTACTTTCTGCGTGAGTTCCCGTAGCCTTGCAAGATCATTAGCTTTTGAGGCCTGCAGGAATAAAATATTTAATAATAATTAGGAAGAAATGTATTGGGTTAATATTAATAATCCAATATTAAAATAAAACATTTGTTATTGTGGCAAGCAGCACTTTTTCTAAAAACTATGTCTGTATTCATGCATTCTAATTCTTCGATGAACATTTTATTTTTTGATATTTTTGCTTTACAATGACCTCATAATATTTTGAGCTTGATGTAGTTGCTTTTATTCTCATACACCCTTTCATAAATTAACATGCATTTTTGGATTCCATCAAGCATGTATATAACCTGTGAGCAGATGTCCTTTGGGGTAGAAAAGAACCACTGCTCGCAGGGTATCGTGTATATTATTATAAATACTGTATGTATAGATCTTTTAATACCTTTAGAACATCAAGTTCATGTTGTTTCTGCTCCACATCATGGTCATACTTTTCCATCCAGTACTCCACTTTTTCTTCAAGAAGCTAAAAGTAAAATTAAAAATAAATTAAAAATTAATGGTCATCTTTTTGTTGCAGGTAAATGAACTCGTACTGGAACGGTAGGTCTTCAGGTTATGGAAGATATGCAAGCCACTAAAGGAAGGGTTTGATTGCTGTGAAATTAACACAGTGTACCAAGAGAAAGTGATGTCTCATGAAGCCATTTATAGCACTCTTGATTTTGATGTGCCTTCATTATGTCAGGCATGCGGTGGTTTAAAAAAGGTTTCTTGTAGCCTCCTTTGTCAATACATGCACTACTAACATGGCTGCCATTTTTTTCATTTCGATTCTCTTGAAAATAGCTGTATACTTATCAGGCATCAGTTATGACTCAATTCACCTTTTCGGCGCTAGCTTGGATTGTGTTACGATCACCAAAAAGTTCGGACATCGTTCTCGGATTTCCATAAAATTCACTGACTAACTAAACATTAACCAAGTAAATAGTTCATTTTTAAAAAGTCAGTACATTTGTACAGAAATTCGAGAACAATGTCCGAACATTTTGGTGACCGTAACACAATCTAAAACAATTTATACACCGTGATGGCTAGCGTTGAAAAGGTGAATTGTTTTAAAAAAACTGTCCTTTTTTCACGAGTGTAGCACTTAATAGCCAATGGCTTACAAAACCTGTGGCCCTCATTCCATGATCAAATTGGAATTCATTTAGGAGATGAATATTGATTTTAAGCCATTAACATGCATGTTTCTCTGCACTTCTGTGACATAAGCATGCTGGAAACTGCAGAGCTCAATATAAGCAAGCTTATTAGCTTAGAAACACAGGGCTCAGTTAATTGAGTGTTACTGTTGCTATTTAATCTGTAATAAATTATACGTTCGGTGTGTGTAATGAAATAAAGTGAATAAGAGAAAAATATCAAATGCTCTTGGCGGGAATTAATCTTTAGTCCTTTGAAATGGATATGGTAGCCAGCGTGACCCACCCTAAGCACACATTAAAACAACCTAATTGTACACATTATATATGTATATCTTAAATTATTTCATTTGTGAATTAAATAAATAGAGGATATTACATGGGCACGCGGAGATATGAAATTTATCTTTGAGTGTTGAAATTTTCAACACGAGAAGATAAATTGAGTATCTCCGCCGCCCATGTAATATTCTGTTTATTATATAATTATCAATGAAGTATGTTTTGGCTTTTTCAGGCAATTCTTTCCGTGTATTTTTGAATAGCCATCGCAATGGTGTTATTTTCACAAGTGAAAATAACATGTTATTTTCACGTGTGAAAATATCAATTTTTCGAAATAGAGAAAAATAGATATTTCATTGGTAATTATATAATAAATAAAAATACCTGATGGTGCTGTTTGAGGTATGCTTCAATCTCTGCATTCACACGTGATTCTTCATCAATCTTGTATTTTAATGTCTGTTACACAAAAAACAGTTGCTCAAATTTTTGACTTTTAAAAATTACTTAAACTTCAATATATATATAAAATTTGAAATAACATTTGATGATACTCATGTCATCTTAAATATTACCCATACCTTATAATTTTTATAATTTTTTTATGTAATCATTGAATAAAAGCATTCCCTTCCTTTCAAAATTGAATGTTTTCTGGTGTTACATTTCAATTATTATTATTCCATTATTTTCACTCAGTAGAGACCACACAATAAACAAAAAAGAAAAGTATGAAAAAGTACTAAGATATAATTTGCACTAAATAGTACAATTTAGTGCAAGTCGTAAAGTACTGTTCCACAAAAGATATTGTACTTGGACTTTACTATTCAACCAATTGAAACAGGATTTTGTACATTTTAGTACTATTCAGTTAGTTATTTAACAACAACTCTACTATTCAACCAATTGAAACAGGATTTTGTATCATTTTACTTATTTCATGAACATGCATTTTCCAGCTTTACTGTTTACACTTTCAATTTTTCACTGTTCTTTTAAAGTCACACCTACCTCTAGCTCTTCTTTCAGGCTGTTTTCACTCTGTTGGCACTTTTTCATTGTACATGAAACACGAACCTGATAAAATCATCAAAATGAATGAGAAAGACTAAGTAATGTGCTGTAGTATATCGGACAGCTTTATCCTCTTATTTGTATCTTTACAACACTTTCATTATTTCCCCCCATTTCAGACAACTTGTCATGCACCTTGATTCTTAGTTACATATTCAATATTCAAGCAGTAAACAAAGAAATTACACTCAAGAGATAGCATGAACTGAAATGAGAAAACGATGTGCTCAAGATAAAAGTTCTCTCATTAAGCCATTACCTCTGCATCTTTCTTGATGTACTTTCCTTCCATACTTGTTTTGGCTTTCATTTCTTGAAGCTGATCTTTGAGGTGTGCAATCATTTCATTCCGTTGCTGATGATAAAAAATATAACATCAAAATTAAAGACCCATTGCCACTTACCTTGATGCACCACGGTCACAGATGAATGTCGTGGTCCATGAAATTCAAAGATTCATATATTGAATAATAACTTCATATTAAATCCTTTTCCGACATAGCACTAAGGCACAATAATGATTCTTTTACATTCTTTTAAGAGTTTATTCAAAAGGTTAGAATTGTTTTTTCAGTGGTGACACGATTCAAAATGTAAACAAACTGTGATGCATCACGGTAAGTGGCAATGGGTCTTTAACATAATTGATTTAGTAAGCAAAGTAATTGAGTAAGTAAGCAGTTGTTAACTCACTGTATACACCAAATCAAAATATGGCGACCTATGTAAATAATTTTTCAACTGACTAGATAGCCTTGTGTTTATTTGGAAACACAAAAGAGTTTTCATGTGTATGAGAGGCTAGTTGGTCCAGAACAATAACTATTTAAATTAGTTGCCATATTTCGATTCAGAGTATGTATTCAATATTCTATGAATTCAATTATCCTTTATGCATACAGATTATTTATCACCAAAACTTTTATCTCTTGCCAACCTGTATTTCACTTTCTTTTTCTTTCTTTACTTCTATTAATTGTTTTTGCAAGCTCTTTACAAGTTTTCGACTTTCTTCCTCTCTAAAAATGTCAAAGCAAAAAGTGTCAGACTCTAAGACTGGCCTGAGGATTATGAATAGAGTGTGTGCCATATATATTTGTGAAAGAATTACTAGAGCCATGTAGCACAAATAGATGTAGCTGTGAAATAGCTAAAAATTCACTCGGGCATGAACCAAACAAAAACAGTTAAAGGTATTTTTGTTCGCAATGTTTTGCATTTTCAGGAATCCAGGGGTAAAAATCTGTCGTTTGTTTCTCAATCCCAGAATGTTTTCCCGCAAGCCAGAAAATTGACAGAATTTTAAACCTGGGTTCTGGAGGGTGTGTTTCTGATAATCCTTTATTTTGTTCAACATCATGATTTTGTTTCACAGATGTATAGGGTGCACTATATGTTTGACTTGAAAATAAAATGAATATTTCATAGGATGGGTTTTATGTAGCACTGCTCTCGGTTTACATTATGGGTTTATATATTTTATTTAACAAATAGACAGTTTTTTATGTGTCTGTCCTCTTATTGACAATAAATTTTGTCATCACATTGTCAAAGTAGTATGCAGATCCCTATTTGTTTTTACAATAACAAAAACGATTAAGACTTCTCATTTTTAGTGATCAAAACAACAAATGGAAAAAGTGTGCACTCGTTGACGTCAGCTTTGTCTGTCGTCTTATTGATGATAAAAAACAACCAATCAGCGCACGAGAAATTTGTAAGTCATTGTAAAATACTTACTTGAGTATTGTTTGCTGCAATGCAGCTTTCTTCTCTTTTTCTGTACTGACAGCATCAATAAGAGAATCAAAGGTATTACTTGATATGACTTCAGCCAATGTTGCCTCAATAACATCTTGCAGAAACTTTCTATGAAAATAAAATAAAGATCTCAGTAAGTTTGTCTTAGTACTTCTAAAGTTTGGGTTTTTTGAAACCATGATTTTATTAGAACTACAGTATTTTGTGTGTGAAAAGTTTACTAGTTACAAGCAATCATGAGTGAGTGTGTTGCTTTAGTCTAGCTGAGTGATTTTACTTGACCCATGAAAAACGTTGTAGTGACTAACAGTTGAAGTAAAACAAAAGAAAAATAATGGAATAAGTGTATACTACTATGTATGTCATACTAACAAACTTACAATTTTCTTGATGGACCAAGTAAAATGTTGTGAATACAATAAGTGCACTCGTAGAATAATGTGTATTATTGATGGATGTGCGCAGGAGTAAAAGACTGTGTGCATGTGTCAATATTTATGAACATGTTTATTGATGTGTGCATTGGTAGAATAACGTGTGATTAACATAAACCATTCATGTATTATTGATGGATGTGCGCAGGAGTGAAAGACTGTGTGTGAGTGTCAATATTTATGAACATGTTTATTGATGTGTGCATT